CCTCTTACAGGCACAGAAGTCTGGGGGGATTCGTGCCATTATCTGCGCTCTTCCACCCTACCTCTCCACGTGTCACGTGCCCTGCCCACCCTCATAGACTTACCTGGAGGGAGCTGTGGGAGCTGCTCTCCACTACACTGCCTGGCTGCCATGCGCATGTGTGTATGGGGACATACATGTGGCGCCCCCTGCACCCTGCTCCTCACAGCCCCTTGCAGGCTGGAATTCTGCCAGCCTGCAAGGGGAAACCCACCATTTCCTGGGTTTATCCCTTTTAAAGGAGAACCCATGTTTTTCTGCAGCAAATGGAAAACCCTGGTCCCTGATGATAAGTCGATAAGAGTTTGGGAAACGAATATATCCTGTCGTTGTAATACTTCGTTAACTTAAATACAGGACACTTGAATGATTGGCTGAACTCCTTTGTTTCTTATCAGGCCGAGCAGATCCGGAGTGTATGCTGGGTCACTTGCTGAGAATACTTTTCAAAAATGATGACTTCATGAATGCGGTGGGTTTATCCTGAAAACTGTAATTAATGATACTTAACTGTTTCTTTTAATGGTTTAATGGCATTGTTCTTGTCATCTACACAGAGTTATGGTTTGCTTCTTAGCTTCAGTCTATGCTATTGTTATGCTAACATAAAGAAGATTTCTTTTAAACATCAGTGTTAAAATTGGGTTAAATATGGCTTGCCTGTCATTGTTGAAATGGCAGGAGGGGAGATTTGTCATTGCAAACCATCACAGTTCCCCAAAAGCTTATTAATAAAAAATGGGGTTATGTCTGGTGATAATTAGCCAGGCAAACAGTGGAAACAGTCTTTAATACCAGTGTAAAACCATGCCATGCAATAATTATAACTGTAGCCTTTGCTTGTGGATGCTTTCAAATATTGAACTGTCTTTAGGAGCTGGGTGAGTTATAAGAAGTGAGCAGTGGGTGAGAGCCAGAAGTTGCTGGCTATTTTCCTGCACTTCCTAATATTAAATGATGCTTATCAGTCATGATTGGGTTGTATTGTATTAGGCCCCATATAAAAATATTTTAATACACAGACCCTACCAACTGCTTGAATTTCCTTGCCCTAGACTAAATGGTGGCCAAAGAAGGATACAATTAACTAAGCTTTTGGTTTTTTTCTTTTGAATTTTTAAAATAAATCTCCAATTGTTTTCTGTCTCTGCAAGTTCCTATTAATTAATTGACTGGATCAGTAAAAGTCTGTTAAAGATGGGCATTCTGTCAGTGGAGGTATTTAGAGGAGTTTATTTTTCTGACAATGAAATGTCTTGCTTCAACATCTTTTCTGATGCATCAGGGGGAAAGGTCACCAGACAGTTGGCTGTGCTCTGTAAGGTGGAGGCCAAGAGCTTACTTGCTGACATGACTACTGGTATCTTCTCCTTTAGTTCTGTGCTCTATGATTTTGTGAAAATCCATACGATTTTTGCTGACCTGTACAGTTTTGAGGCGGAATTAAATTTCAGACTAATTTTGTTCTTGATCATTTTCCCCAAGCTCGTGAACGCTTATGTCATGACAAGCAGGGAGCCCCCATTAAACACTGCTGCTTGTCGTCTCCTTCTGGACATCATGCCAGGACTGGAAACTGCTGTCGTATTTCAAGAAAAGGTATTGTATGTAGTAAGTTGAAATTATATGCTTGGTTATGTTCTAACACCTGGTTGTATTCTAACACCTCCCATTCTTGTTTTGGACAAGTCTATGTAAACAGACGATAAGTCTCATTTCTGCAGTACCACTCTATTCAGTTTTATTAATAATGTAATAAATAATTAAATTTAACACTAATAATTTTTTTAGTATTACTTACCTGAAACCCAGCTGTTTAGGGGTGATGAAAATTGACTTGTCTACCCCTGTAACAGAGGAACAAGAACTAAAAAAATTCCTCCTTGAGGAAGCTTTGCAGCCCTGATGTTTTGGATATACATTTTTTGTAGATCTGAACAGGGATCAGCAGCATTCATAACAATTTTAAGTTTTGAAAACTGAAATTAATGGGGCAGTAACACTACTGTATTTAGGTAGTGATCAACTTGCTGCATAGTGGGCATTTTTTTCAGATGGTCAAAAATTTACATTTTTACTTGAATTATTTTGAAAATTGCAGTGCCTCCTGAGGATCTGTGGTACTGTTCATGATTCCATTTGAGGTGATTTGAACAAGGGGTTCTTGAGGTACAGCCCTCTGAGGTGGAAACAAAACAAAAATGAAAAACTGACCTCAGCATTTTATGGTTCATTTGAGAAGTTATGGCTACCTCATTCTGCACAAATTTGTACATACTCTCTGCTCAGATGTCAAGCTCCATTTTTGTTCTTCATAAAATTCATATTGTATTAACCCTGCATATAACTTGAATTTTAGGAAAAACAGCTTTTTCCCTAAGCATGAAATATAGATTACAACTGAAGTCCTTGAACTGCCGTCATCCTTAAAAAGTTGCACAGAGGACTCAAATTCCAAGAAAAGACTTGAGGGGCTGGTGCCCTAAAAATACTAAAATAATAGCCTCCTCTGTGCCAATCGTAGATTCACAGAAGTAGGGTCGGAAGGGACCTTGTACCCCCCTGCCCTAGGCAGGAGAGGGAGACTGGGCTCAAATGACCCCAGCCAGGTAGATATCAAGCCTCCTCTTAAAGACCCCCAAGGCAGGAGCCATCACCACTTCCCTTGGAAGTTGGTTCCAGATCCTAGCCACCCTGACTGTGAAGTAGTACCTTTTGGATATCTAGTCTAAACCTACTCTCTAACCATTTGTGGCCGTTATTCCTTGTTACCTCAAGGGGGCACTAGGGGGAACAGGGTCTCTCCCAAACCCTGCTGGTCCCCCCTGGTGAGTTTATAGATGGCCACGAGGTTCCCCCTCAGCCTTCTCTCGTGGAGGCTGAACAGGTTAAGGTCCCGTAGCTTCTCTTTGTAGGGTCTGTCCTACTGTCCCCAGATCATGTGGGTGGCCCTCCCCTGGACCCTCTCATTGCTGTCCACATCCCTCCTGAAGTGCGGCACCCAGAAATGAACACAGTATTCCAGCTGCGGCCTGACCAGTGTCACATAGAGGGGGAGGATCACCTCCTTGACTCTGCTCGAGATGCATCTGTGGATGCATGACAAAGTACGGTTAGCCCTACTGACCGTGACCTCTCATTGTCGGCCCATGTTCATCTTGGAGTCACTAATGACTCCAAGATCTCTTTCTGCCATGCTCTCAAGAAGGGAGTTTCCCAGCTTATAAGTGTGCTGCTTGTTCCCACTGCCCAAGTGCAGCACCCTGCACTTGTCACTATTGAAACCCATCCTATTTTCATTAGCCCACCCCTGTAACCTGTCCAGGTCTTGCTGTAACCTGTCCCTCCCTACTAGCGTGCCCACCTCACCCCAAATCTTGGTATCATCAGCAAATTTAAACAGGCTGCTTTTTATCCTGTTGTCCAAGTCACTAATAAAGAAATTGAACAGTGCAGGCCCAAGGACCGAGTCCTGGGGGACTCCACTGCCCACTTCCCTCCAGGTCGAAAAAGACCCGTCCACCACTACCCTCTGAGTATGACCCTTCAGCCAATTTGCAATCCATCTGACTGTGTAGG